ACACACAGAAGGGGAGAACATGAGGAAAGGTCTCACTTGTTGGGTTTTGTCAAGGTTGAGGGGTGAGGAGTTTGGGGAAAAGCTGCTGCAGGGCTAATTCCCTCCTGGCTGACTGCTGCCTCTCCCCCAGGCAGCATCCTCCCCGTGACAGTGTATGACCAGCACGGCTTCCGTGTCCTCTTCCACTTCGCCAAGGATGCCCTGCCCGAGCGGCCCGACGTGCTCGTGGTGGTCATCTCCATGCTCAGCACGGCCCCACAGCCCATCCGAAACATCCTCTTCCAGTCTGCTGTCCCCAAGGTGAGCCAGCTGCTGGGGCAGGGCCCAAGCGTGCTCCTGCTTTTGCAGGAAGGGCAGTGTTGAGCAGAGAGAGCTTGGTGGGGCTGAGAACAAGCTGTGTCCCGACACAGTGCTCTTCCCTTTGACTAGAGAGTGGAAGTTCCTCAAAGAGAGGAGCAGTCTCTGGCTGCCAGTCACCCTCAGGGATGCTCTTCTCTCTCCCTAGGTGATGAAGGTGAAGCTACAGCCTCCTTCAGGCACGGAGCTGCCGGCGTTCAACCCCATCGTCCACCCCAGTGCCATCACACAAGTCCTGCTGCTCGCTAACCCACAGAAGGTAGCCTGGCACGAGGCGAAGCCTGGTTACCCTGGCCCTGTTCCCTCTCCAGCTCCTGAGAGACCCGTCTGGTTTGTGCCTCATGCCTTTCTTCCCTCTTTTCTGACTGCTTTATCTCTTCTCCCTTGTCTCCAGGAGAAAGTGAGGCTACGGTACAAGCTGACCTTCACCATGGGAGAACAAACCTACAATGAAATGGGGGATGTCGACCAATTCCCCCCACCAGAGTCCTGGGGAAACCTCTAGGGCTGCTCGTTGCCTGCACTTACACTACAGAGTCCTTGGGCAGCCAGCCCTGAGGGGCTGGTGCTTTATCTCTTCTCCCTTGTCTCCAGGAGAAAGTGAGGCTACGGTACAAGCTGACCTTCACCATGGGAGAACAAACCTACAATGAAATGGGGGATGTCGACCAATTCCCCCCACCAGAGTCCTGGGGAAACCTCTAGGGCTGCTCGTTGCCTGCACTTACACTACAGAGTCCTTGGGCAGCCAGCCCTGAGGGGCTGGGGCTAATCTCCAAATGGCCGGGCAAGGGCCAGGGGGGAGCATGTGCCTCAAGGAGGAGAGCAGAGACGCCAGGAGATGTTCACCCCATCAGACTAGGAGCAGAGTGGAAAGCTTGGGGGTGAACAGTGGCCTTCCCTGCTCTTCTGAAGGCGTCGCTCCTTCCCCAGTCTGTCCAGCTTCTCTTCTAACCCTGCTTTCCCCCCTAGGTGTAGTGGGGAACGAGGATGGGGAGCTTCAACAGCCTCAGCCTGGGGCAAGGCCTAGCAAAGGAAGATCCTTTTCCTTGTCTGTCCCCTTCATGCTTCCCAGCCCTTCAGCTGCTTCGTGCTCTGTGGTGCTCCCCCTTCTGCCCCTTCCCCCCACCTCCTTGGAGCTGGGCCCCGGCGGGTCCCTGTCTGATGGGATCACGTTGGAGCTGGTGAGGAACAAGGCTGGACAGAGGCTGGGTGTCTTCCCAGCACCAGCCAGCTGCCCTTGCTTGGGGGAGGATTCCCATATCCCCCCTCCTCCCAGCAAAGCTGGGGCAAGGGGAGCCCAGGAGCTGGGAGAGTCTGGCTCTGTGCCTTCCCCTGCCCTTCAGCTGGAGCTCCTGGGTGCTGAACCCCCCCAGCGAGGCAGCCCGTGCCCTTCCCACATCTATCTACCACAGTGAGCTCTGGGGACCACCACTGGGCTTTGTCCCACCCCTGAGAGGGGTGTGCTGGGATGGGGGGGACATAGGGGCAGTCTCCCCACAGCCTCCTGCCAGCCAGGGTGAGGAAGCAGCACATGGTCTTCCTCTCCCTGCCTGGGTGGGCCAAGGGGCTTTTCTCAGCTCTTCAGTGTCTGCTGGCAGTGGAGTGGTTGATGGGCTGGGAGTTGGGGCACCACTGAGCTCTGCACTGGGGGGGTGGGACAGGGAGGGGGGTACAGCTGTGCCTTGCCCACCTTTGACCGCAGCCGTGGGCAAGCCTGGCTCCCCGCGGCG